AAGTGTCAAAATCCTGCGACATTTTACCAAATGAGTCACTTCACAGACTGGCGCAAAAAACTAGTGCTTACCGTTTGATTGATCTAGGAATACTGGGGGTTGAGTGGTGTACTGGTCGGGTCGGAGGCAAGTCGGGGGTAGTGCGCGTCGTCCCATTACATTGTGTGCTATTTTTGGCTGCAACGACCAGCGGGTCGGGCCCGACCAAACTGGAAAATTTTGGTCGTGCGACCAGAGCCCGACTAGGGTCCGACCAGTCGACCAGTGCGCGCTGTTCCATTTATTCCTATTATAAAACTGGTCGTATCCGACCACGACTCCGACTGGTCGGATACGACCAGTTTTATAATAGGAATAAATGGAACAGCGCGCACTGGTCGACTGGTCGGACCCTGGTCGGGCCCTGGTCGCACGACCAAAATTTTCCAGTTTGGTCGGGCCCGACCCGCTGGTCGTTGCAGCCAAAAATAGCACACAATGTAATGGGACGACGCGCACTACCCCCGACTTGCCTCCGACCCGACCAGTACACCACTCAACCCCCAGTATTCCTAGACCAATCAAACGGTGAGCACTAGTTTTTTGCGCCGGTCTGTAAAGTGACTCATTTGGTAAAATGTCGCAGGATTTTGACACTTTTGAAACCTGTCTTCATATTGACGTAGCTCTTCATAAAATGTTACAAAATGCCCTTTCAGACCTGACAATTAACATTGGATGTACCCAGTATAGTTTCTTCTTCCGCTTAACGTACTTACAATACAAATGCGCCATAACAACTACTTCTTCAACAATCATCTTGACACTGAAGTTTGTAAAATATTAGTTGCCTTGGTCGGGTCGTGGTCGGGTCGTGCTCTGGTCGCATGGTGAATGACAACCACTGGTCGGGCGTTTGGTCGTGGTCGTGGTCGTGGTCGGGATAGTGCGCGCCCGGCCTTATAGCTGTAAAACTTCATCTTTCATTCATACAGCAATATCCATTCATACTTGGCTTAAAATACCTACTTTGTATAGTCTCCATTTCATGGAAAAGTATTAACTATAAAGAAATGATTTTGTAGTGCTAACAACGCTGTATTGAGACAATTAATCTTCAATTATTCAAATTAACATGTGACTTAGAAAGACTAGATATAAAAGTATAATGTATATGATGATTCATACACATGTCATGTATATTTATGGTGACTACCAATGGTTCAGGCCTACTACTTCAGTATGACTCGCTTCACTCTGTCGCTCCCTAAAATCGAAAAAAAAACATTTCCGGTTCCCATGTCCCGTATTGCCGTCGATTGAGTCGATCGTGTCAACCCCCCCCCCCCCCCCTCATCATCACAACCGACACAACCCATCGAATTAAATATTACAACCCACAACCAACCTTGAGTTGTGCACCACCTCGGAAGGACGATCTCGAGCAGGGTTAAGTTGAGAAATTAGCAACACCTGATTTAACCTTATAGCGGTGGTCAGATATGGTGCCGGGTAGAAGTGCCACCCAAGTGCCACCACGTTATCAAATGTAGGTTCGTCCACACACCGATATTTTGTTGGCTGACTTAGAGGAATGGAATAAGTTTACATCTTAACATCTAACATAGAACTATATACAAGAATGCAACAAACATTTTGAAGTACTGTAGAAAACTTACCATCATCACGCCGGAGTTCTTCAAAACGAGAGTGGTTCTTTCGCTTCTTCCTACGCCGCTTAATTCGACGCCACAGCAGCCACAATGCAATAACACGTTTCACTTTGGGATTCATTATTTGTTTACTATTTTAGAAAAGTAATCGCCACTGTTGAGGTAGGATAGTTGCGCAACGTCTTAACTCGTCCACGGCTACCGAGCAACTGTTCGTTCGTTTTTCGTTTCGTTTCGTTTTACCGAACCGAAGTGTCTCGACGTGTTGACGTTGACGGGGACCGACCGGCCGGACCGAGCCACTACAAAAGTCGGACGACATAATGTCGGGCAGACCGACGTCGCGCATGCGCACGGAGCTCTGGACCACGTGCTCAGCTGTCAGAGTCAGACCTTTGTATGTGACCACTGACCAGTTTGAGTTTAGTACCTAACCTATTATTATATCGGAACTCACCATATTTCCTCGTCTTGCTGTCGCTGATCAGTGAATACAGCAGAACTAACTCATCATCACTGCTAGAACTGTCACTGTCTAACCACGGAATACTTCTCGACAAAGAACCACTGCACCACGGAATACTTTTATCAAAGTCATCACTGCACCAAGGAATACTTTTAGCAAAGTCATCACTACACCACGGAACAGAAGCCATCTTGGTGCTTGGTGGGCTTGGGCTGGCGCTGGCGCTCGCTCCTGGCAGTAGTGGCATCCGTTTGGCGAATGGCGAATGATGAGAACGAGAACAAGTGACTGAGTCAAAATGGGACCACGCTACGTTCGCAGACGTCTGTCGTGGTGTCTTGTGCATCTGTAGCGTAACGTTACGTTCTAGCCAATAATGAGCTGTGCATATTAGTTGTCAACAATAACTTAAAAAATTAAACTAAAATTATTTTATTACTAAAATATTAATAACTTTAACTTACCTTCAGTTACGGTCAAGCACTTTGCCTTGCATCCGTGTCTTCTCTTCTCACAAGCCCACGTAACTCCCTTGGTAGTCTTACATCTAAAAATAAACTTAAACCCGCCAACCATCAAAACATTTTTGCCTCTTTCGCTGAGAACTAATTTGAGCGCGCACTCCATCGCAATCACTTCCCACGGAACTCTAAGTTTTTAATTTTGCCTTCAATGAAACATGTCAAAAGGGACAGATTGTAGGCACGCTACAGATTGACCAGTTCAACGATCTGTTCTATACAGACTGAACAGTGCTCCTAATGAGCAGGAACAAAAAATGGGGGAGGAGCTTAAGCAGCGCTGACCCGTGTGGGGGAGAAGCTTGTCTATTCACGTGTCTGTCAACAACAGGTTGAATAATTCAATAGCATTCACGCTTATAATTTTCAACTAGTATTTTTTATATTTTTTTTATAGCGTTAAGTTAGTTTTGACTTTTTTCACGTGTAAGTCTCACGTTTATTTATTATTAAATATAAACCTTTATTGTTTATATAGGGAACTAGGCACCCAAGCTATTATGTCAAGCAGCTCAATAAAATAACTTCCCCGTTGCAGCAAACCTGCAGGCTAATCGAATTTATATTTGGCTGTTTTGATCTATTTAAACATTATGTTTACGAACACCTAAGTTTGCTGCTACAAGGAGGGTAATAAAGTGTGGTTTTTATTATATTAATATTATTCTCCATAAGGATAACTTAGGAATTTTAAATTTACACTAAACGAAAATGCTTATACCTAACCTTGAAAGAACACATCAAGACTTTAAAATGGTAACATTTTCTTAATTATTGATTATTGCGATAACTAGAACTAGGTCAAACTAACTTGCCGCATTAGTAATGTAATAAGTAAAGTATTTCGTAACCAACTCAAAAGTCCCCAAAGAATGTACTTTTTTGTGTTTGTAAGGAATTGATTTGTTTAATATCAAGTCCGGGTCATATTTTACAAACCTAAATCAGCTGATTCACCCAACTCAACACTCAACGTTTGCTAGGAAGCGCCACTGTACAGGACACAGGGTCTGACGCAGCCGCCTCGTGCACCGCAGCGCTACCTATGAGCAAATCAGCGAGTGTGCGACGCCTGCGATTTCTCTCATACTCCCCCCTAACACTCGAGTACTGCGTGATTGCGTTTCGACTGTGAAGGGCTCCTGAGACATGCAGAACTGAATGATTAGGAATTATTTAAAAAATAGTTTATTTAAAAAATATTTTGAATGAAAGTGAATTGGAGGTTGCATATTGACGTGGAATCATGCTTTGTCTAATAGTAAATATTTAAATATAGAATTAACTTTCACTAAGGATTAATTTTTGACAATTTGCTCACCAATATTATCCTGGAAAATTATACCACTGAACAATTATCGATGTATCAGTGATGTGTACACCAACAGTTTAGTGTCGTCACATTACTATAGGTCGGCCGCTTAGAAAACGACCTCCTCCAGCATTGGTTTAGCATTAGCGCGCAAGTAGTTTTCTAAGCGGCCGAACTATAGCTGCAATTTAAAGTCAGTGTCACTATTGCAGCCAATTACTTGCAGGAACCTACCTATTCTATCATCATGATGATACGTGAATACCGCTGTAATTTGAAAGAGTCGGTCATCAAAATTTAAACATTTTAAAATAAGAAGTTAAAACCTGGATGTGCTTCTTGACATTTTAGAGAATATCTTAGGGGATTCTAACACAGCTGATGAAAATACAGGAAATAGATCACTGAACCACTAGTGATTCAAGTGAAACGGGGAACTTTAAATTATTGACTTTTATTAATATCTTAAACCATACTATAGGTATTTTAGTTTAAAAGAAATTTCATTTCCTAATTGCTGCTGTATGTTCAACTTTGATGCTGCTCTTTTCATTTTCGTTTGATGTTTTATGATGTTGTTACACTATATTGAAATTCGTTTACTTGTAAAAAAAATATCATCGCTAAGTAACTCGCTGCCTGTCATATTTCTGCGTGTATAAACTCTCATGACATCAATCATCATTATGTCAAAACAGTATTTCATGGAAGATTATTTATATGTATTGCTGGATTACAACCAGCTGTGTGAAACAGTTGTGGTACAACCAATAGTCAATGGCGAAACGTTGCAATTTATTATCACAATGTTCTCTCTTCTCTTGTTAATACTGATTGTGTCGTCAGTGCGTGGAAACGGTCCTACACCAATTGTTCTCTGGCATGGTATATTCGATTCTTATGACTCTTTTCCAAATTTGAGCCGTTTTTTGGAACAAAGAATACCAGGTGTCTACGTGAAGTCTTTGAAGATCGGTTCCAGTGCTGTATCGGACTTAAAGAACTCAATGTTCATGGATGTGAATAAACAGGTTAAGAAAGCTTGCGACATGATCAAAGACGACCCGAAGCTTAAACGGGGCTTCCATGGACTTGGGTTCTCGCAGGGTGGTCAATTCTTGAGAGCAGTAGCGCAAAGATGCTCGGACCCTCCGATGTTCAACCTGATAACCTTGGGATCACAACACGAAGGCTACTTTGGTTTAAAAGTTTTTCTGTGGAAACTATTTCTAAATAGCATTGTCATGAAGCAACATTGGCACAATCCACTCAACCACGACAAGTACATCAAAGAAAACACATTCATTGCGGACATAAACAATGAAAAGGAGTTTAATGAAGACTATAAGACTATAACCTATCCAATCTTAAAAACTTAGTGCTAGTGATGTTTGAAGACGATAATGTTGTAGTACCTCGAGAATCTTCTTGGTTTGAATTTTACACAAAGGGGCAAAATAAGGAAGTAACAAAACTGATCGACTCAGAGCTGTTCATAAATGACAAGATCGGACTGAAAAAATTGTTTGATGGTGGGAGGCTTCACAGACTCATGTGTCCAGGGCGCCATCTTGCGGGGATGAGTATTAAATGGTTTTCAGAGAATATAGTGCCATATTTGACTCCGACTTTCTGGTGACGTGGCATAAGTCTCGTATGGAAACAATGAATGTAGATTTCTTGAAATATAACATGACTTAGATTGATTAACCATCAGTCTAGTTATTGCACAACTGGTCACGTTAACCTATAAGTAATTTTAAACATTTTAAGCTTTTAAATATCAGATAATTTATTGCATCTTAATTTTTACGTAACTGTCTACCACATATACTAGAGTGGTGCCTGCTGACTGAGTGCGGTCAAAATATTTCGTTACAGAAAATATAAATACAGTGTTGTCTGTATTTCTGTGCATTGCAATGAATCATTAGGTTTTTGGTCATTTTTACGTTTTATTGCCGAAAAAAACAAAAACTAATCTTAAATAAATTTATGGCTGTCTATCTTTCAGTCTTTGCGTCTGTGTTACCAAAGTGCCAGCTTACGCTACCTACTACGGAAAAACTAGAACACGATCAAAACTAAATTCTTTTTTTTTAATTAGTGATACTGTCTTTAGCTATTACAACATGGCCTAACTAATTTGAAAATGTTCAAAACACCTTTTTTGTTCTATATTGGACTCAATATTGAGCTAGAGATACTACTTGAGGTAGCAGTGAATGGAAGAATTATGAATTAAGTTGGCTGCCTGATTAATAGGGTGAAGTAGGTACTTTGTACCATAGACTAACCAATGTTTTATCTATGTTTGTACTTAGTACATTTCAACTAGGAAAATTGGGAACTGTGTGTGTACAGTTTTGTTCAGAATTGTAAAGACCATAACCATAGATAGAACATACTCCCTTGTATTGGTTAGTCTGTGTCATAATTAACGTTCTAAATTTAAATTTCGGTCGAGCAGTTTTTTTTAATCTGAATTATTTTGTTATTTTATGTGTTTTGTTGGAAAAGCCACATAAAAAACGATAAATTTTGAATCGTAGTTTTTACAGAAACGGGGATTGTATAATCTTATTTCATGTTTTAAGGACTTAATTACTACATACTACTTAAACTTAAATCAAAATCGTCCCCATTTGTGAAAAAATCATTTTCCCCGTAATGTTATGGCAAAGAATCGCCATTAAAGAAGTAGTGCTACTTCAAATGGCTAAAATATAGCTCGGTGAAAAATATTTAACCCTGTGAAACAAATCAAATAGCGTGGTCGCATGGTTGCATTGAAACAATTAAACAATTGTATATTTGTATATAGTACGGTATATGTGAGCCAACTTTTATTCCATTAACGACCTAGCCAATACAACCTGTATACATTGTTAATTATTCTGGCTCAATAAATTATTTGATTTGGTTTGCGTAACAGCTTTCCTAAAACCTCAGAGTAATAATACATGTATGTATGAGTTATGTATTATTACTCTGAGCTAAAACGAATGAGAAAGAAAAGATAGAGAGGTTGCATGCATCGGATATGGGATGGGTTAGCATAGTTTGTTAATGGAGAGGACTGGAACACTGGAACTGGACTGGACCATTATTATCTCAATGGAATCGGAATGGACTTGACTAATGACTGTAAACAATGTTTAAGGTTATGTTATGTTTGTGAACTGAACTAGTTTACTTTGATTGTTTGATTTGATAAAGTGAATACTTTTTTATGAAATGTAAATTGAGTTAAAATGGGGGTAACCAGTGCTAAACAATTATTTTTAATTTTTATAATTAATATTAATTCAGAGTTATTTTAGCCTATAGTGAAATTCTTGATTTAAGTTAATACATAACATTCGAGTTTGTTTTTACTTCAAGCATGATCATCGAACAATAACAATAAGCAATGTTTTACCGGTTATTTGATCAGTTCTGATAATAAATCAATAAAAACTATGTCTCTACAAATTTTAAGATTCAATCGGCCAATAGTGTCCTCCCTTCACTTAATAAACTGTAATTTTGTGCATCCCACTCCACAAGGAAAAACAAAAAAAGAACATTTTGGTTACCACAAACACAGTCCAATGGTCAATTATGATATCAGTTATCTCGGTAGATCTATGTACCGAACTGTACATACAAGCAGAAGTGCTTCACAGATTAAAGTAAAAGATTTTCTTGACTCTGACGCTAAGGATACTCATACTAAGCCTACAACCAGAAATCAGTCTCTTCAACCAGTGGATAGACTTTTTGAAGAAAAGGAATCTAAGTTTTACTACAACTTCCTAAAACAATCAAGTTCGTATGCTGGAACTGTTTACAAGGATGACCCTCAATTTTTAGATAAGTACAAACTCAACGATATTGAATACAAAAATATTATCGAGACAAAGCAATGGGATGCAAAGCCACCAGCAGACATAATAAAAGCTTTCATATCTTTAGGAATACATGCATCTACCAAGCTTAACATTACTATTGAGGATAAGAGTTGTGAAATGTTGGTATCTGCTTTGGTTGACAATTTGAATTTCTCTTCTGACAACGAACTGATTGAATGCCTTATAGCTTTAAAACTCTGGCCTGTGCTAACGAGAACCAAAGACTCATCACATGATAAAGTACGCAAAGCAATAGACGAAGTTTGTTGTAATAGATTGTATGATTGGACGATAGACAAGTGCTTATATGTGATGGATCTATGGTATCGTCTTGGTCACCTACGGCACTGCTACTTTACCCACAAGACATTACTGAAAATCTCACGAAAAACTGATGAGTAAGCACCAACTAGATTTAATACAGTCTTTCTCCTAGTTCCATATGATTAATTTAGCTCTTCTTAATTAATGAACAACCCTTAGAGCCCCAAAAGGCTGATTTTCATCTGTTAAGAGTAGGTTGGGTACTTTCCTGTTAAATGGAACATTCATTATTATCGAAGATTTCTTTTCAATAAATCAATATTTTTGTTTTACTTCACGATCCGTATTCCCTCTTGTTTTAATATCTTCAATTGCATTTAAATTACAAATTATGAACTAGCCTTGTTTAGGCAAAAATAATAGCCTACCGGTATATATTGGATTAGGAAATGAAACTATTCCAAACTAACCTACAGTAACATATGTAACTAACCAAACTTGAATAGGCTAAGTTACCGTTTCAAAACAGAAAAGTTATATGGGGATTAGGCTATCAAACGGAATTTTGAAATGTTACAGCAAGTTTGGTTGGTTAAGGGTTAGTTAGTTAGGTAGGTACCTAGTTAGGTTGGTTAGGTAGTTTAAAACAGTTTCATTTCAATATTTAATATTTTTTTAAATTGTTGATACTGAACAATATTTATTTAGCCTATCCTTATCGTACTTGTCAGCTGATATGTTTCAATTTGTTATGATCAATATATCGGATAGAAAAATAAAATACCTTTTTTCAAAAAGAAATCATCAATAATAATGAATGTTCCCCTTAACAGGGAAGTATACCGTAGGTTACAGTAGGATTTAAATTTTCTACTAAAATTACAGAAATATAAATATACTATAGTTCGGCCGCTTAGAAAGTGATCTCCTCCAGCATTGGTTTAGCATTAGCGCGCAGGTCGTTTTCTAAGCGGCCGAACTATAACACTTTCAATAATATGGCCTATTTAGGCTGTACTTATACTGTTGACTCATAAGATGGTACCTAAGTGTTTAGCAAATTCAATTGAACACTCCAGTTATTATTAGACCCGATGGCGGTGTAACAGTAGGACACATTAAATTTCTCCCATTAGCTAGTCATTTACCCTTATAACGGGTAACCGGTAAGCTTGCAAAATTGCAATTAACTTTTGAACTGTAATTTTTACAGCACCGGAACCAGTTTGTTTGGAATTAAAAGAACCATGTAGGTAAAAAATACTTGTGACAAGGTACCTAAACAGCGTTATATTTTACTTGTACAGGCCTACTTTACAAATTGATTCATCCAATAATTTACTTACTCATTAACTAGTGTAAAATAATAAAAGCATTTTTTACAGGTTGACAGCTGCCCAGTTGATCCAAACACTATTCTACATAAGCATAAAACGGAAAATTAGTGCTCAGATAGCGCTTAGAGAGTATGAACACTTCATTCAACAGTATATAACTAAACTGTCAATCGAAGAAATTGGGATATTTTGCTTGGCTTTTTTCAGAAACAAAACATCAATTTTAAACAAGAAAGTATTGATGTACATAATGCAAAGAACCGTTAAGGAAACTGATACTATCGACTCAATCTGTCTTGCAGCTATAGCCAAGGTATAAAGTGTCAATTTATGTAAATTACGCAATTAAGCCTTTTTGGAATGGGGTCTCTACTAAATTAATAACTTAATTGATGTGAATGGTTTCCGATTTGGTTAGGTTTTTTATATAGCTGGGTGGCTAAGTGGTTATAGTGCTTGCCTAACGATCATAAGGTTATTGGTTCGATCCTCAAAAAAGTACAAAGCTTTTTGATGGTTTGAAACTGACCCAGCTGTCCTTGATTATTGATCATGGCTAAATTAACAGCTGATCGTACAACAAAGCTTCAAAGTTTATATCACTCCATTCTACTCTTTGTCCTAAAATACCTATGCACTTAGGTGGACTTGGTGAATCCAAAGTAATGGTAATAACTCAACTTATGTATTCTCATAGACAAAAGAATAAAATATAGACCGACAGCAGTGGCTGCGTTTAGCATATATTCTAGCGTCCACCTATAGGAGTGCTGTGTAGTTTCGGCACACCACTGCATCCTCAAGTGCTAGCGAGCATTGCCATGACAAGTTGGTAGTTGGAGCAAGGGTTGCCATCTTCTGGAGAATCCCGGAATCCGTGGGTTAGGAGTTTGTTCCGTCATTTTTTTGTGTTCTGGGATTAAAAATTAATGGGTTTTTCTATTTTAATTTATGGGATTTCAGAATTTTGTACTTTCCCCATAACTTATTGAAAAGTGGGTCTGATACGTTGGTAGCATTTCGTTTGCAAAGGTTTTAGTGCTGGTAGCAGACAGTGAGTCGATGACGGCAGCAAATCAACGAAAACTGAGCACATTCTAGCAGTACACCACGGACCTTTGACAGTCTATCTATTCTATTTGTCTATGGTATTCTTAATCTTTAAGGAACTAAAAAACAAGCAGCACCCAATAAAGAAAGAAAATCATAACTATCAGTCAGTAACAAAGACAACATAAATATGAAATAATTCAGGTTTTACCAAATATATTTCAAACAAAAAAAGCTAAACAAAGGTCTCTAATTAAAAAAATAAAATATTTGCTGAAACTAACCCCTTTTTATCTTAGCCTTCAAAGAAACTCATAGCACCATGAAAAAAGAAATACCAGTAATTATAGACTGGGTGATAATATTCAATATAGGCCGATTCTAATACCTTATTGAGCTACAAAATAAAGTTGATACTAAGTTAATCATTTATTGTTACAGGTAGTTAGATATTCACACAAACCAGACATTGGGTTCACAGCTAACGACATGGTGAACAAGGTGATAGCTAAAAGGTGGAACTCATTTTCATTGATTACTGCAATTCATCTCGTCCACATCAGCACACAAGTTCAGTTTTATGATGAACAATCACTTACCAAACTAGCGGAAAAGTTTTGCATGAACCCTTCGGAGGCTAGATTGAAGGTATGTGAACAGTGATGAATTGAGTTTTATTTACTTAGGGTTTTATTTACGCATAATCAGGACAAAGTCAGCTCTCGTTCTGTTGTAAGAAAATATATTTTTTTGTACATAAAGATAAAAAAACATACAACTTAAACAGTTTTGTGTCTGATTTCAATGAAATTTAGCATGACTGTATAAGGCTGGATACTTTTATGAGTTAACACACCAGATTAAGTAAACTGTTATGCTTGATAATTATTTAAATCATATAGGCTACTTGATCAAATTTGGCAAATTTATTGATTCCAGATTAAGCTATTAACATTTCACTTACAAATTTGCCTTCACTGTAACAGCAACCCTAATAACAATTCAAATGTGATTCAGATTTGGGTAGTAAATCTCACATTTTAAGGGAATATTTTAGTAAAAATCCAATCAGGCTAATATAAATTCTTTCAGTTTGCAGGTTTTCTGTGGCAGGTGTATTTTTATTTTCTAGTGAGTTTCAACAGTTAATGACAAAGTACTGTAATCAGTTTTGATATTTTTTCCAGGAACTAGAGCGAATAGCCTTCTTTCTCTCCCTGTTCAACTTCATCCCTCCTTCGGCTCCCAACGTGTGTGATTTGATTGTGGAACAGCTGGATTCTCCGCAACGGGAATCAGAACTGAATGAATTCCCGCTTATGTATCTTTCACTTCTTTACTTTCTCTCTCTACTCCAAGTCCATCCAGAGAAACACATTTGCCGAGTAATTGATGACAAACGTCTTTTAGAACTCTATGGTAAGTGAATTCGAAGTAGAGGATTTATTATAGGCTGTTCTAGACATTGAAGCTGATCTGTTGTTTCGAAATTGTGACACATCGGTAGAAAATAGAATAAACATAATTCTCGGTAGAATGTTAAACATAATATTTAACATGTAGCTAACATCACAAAAAAACATGTACTTAACTGGTGAAATAAATATCTTAAATTCAAAGGAAATTCATAGGATTAATCTATTATTTCTTTAGCATTAAAATTGCTATTGGAAAGGAGACTCCACAATTTTTTTAATTTTGAAAGTTTAGATTCAAGACCAGCATGGGTTTAGACGTACCACACCCCAATTGATTTGTTGTTTTGGTCAGAGAGCGGCATTTCAACATGCTCAAGGAAAGTAACCCTCCTTAACTCAAATCAAACTGACACAGTCATAAACCCACTTGATCACTGAACCCCTCTAAAAAAATCTACATTTGTAGGTTGATTTTGAGCTTGGTTACTAACAAGATTTCTCACACAGGGAACAAGTTCCTCATTCCGCAGCAGACTGTGCAGTTGGACTACAACAGAGTTCTGGAAGGACCAGCTGGCTCCAAACATCTGTTGTCTCCCAGATTACAAGAATATCTGGCGAGAGTAAGTACCTAAGAGTCTTGAGATGATATAACTGCAAACTGATAACTGTGTACGATTTCAAACCTTAACAAATACTTGTACTCTGAGGATTGAAGCGGCGACCTTCTGATCAGGAGGGAAGCATTCCACTCTGCTACCAACCTATACCCTGGGTAACATTACCAGTTAGATCAGTGACCTATCCATTTGTCAAACAGTTTAGAAACTTGAGTTAGGCTTGCGTGTTTGAGCACAACTAGACCTCCCTTGGTTATGTTATGGGTTTGGTCTATGTGTTTGGTTACTAGTGGTTTATTTTACCTGTGCTACTGTCTACTGATATTCTGTTGGATTCTCGGTCTTCTGGTGACACCCGCGTCAAGTCCCCTTAGTTTGTGTCGTTTCACTGAAATACAGAGAATTCAGTGATGAATCTGGCCGCTTAAGCCTACGAATTAAGATTGATAGACGTCCCCATCTCAATGATTGATTGATTGATACTTTGTTGTTAGAGTGACTACAGCTGTATCTTACTATAGGAATATGTTGTCAGAATAAATTCAGTTAGTGACAAGGAAATATTCTTGTTGTGTAAAGTTTCAGTTCATCCTGATCAGGATGGACTCATTCCTATTCAGGTAAACAGGATTAGGTTGGGTTTAGACACGGCAAACCACAGTATGTGTTTAAGGCAAAGATATGAGGTGATAGGTTTGTTATAGACCAAGCTAATTATGTAACCAAAACATTTTTTTTTTTATGATCAAGGACAGCTGGGTGCAATTTTGAATCTTCAGGATAAAATCGGTAACAGTCTGATTACTAGCAGAGAGGTAGCACAGAGGCATCTATTCATTCAGCTACGGGTATTCGTAACCTAGGCTGTTGTGCTTTGTGTTACATCATTATATCTTGTATTTTTTCAGAGATATTCCATGTACATCCCGGATGAAGCTCACCCACCAAAAAACCAGTTTGACACCATGCTGTTTGAGATGATGGGTCTGAGTGATAAACTGCTTGGAAAAGGGAACAGCCTCGCCACATACACTCTCCCCCACTTTCCTAGAGCAGGTAAATACAGACACAGAGCAAGTAAATACTTTCACAGAACACGTAAATACCCTAGCAGGAAAATTCATATAGCCAGAGCAGGTAAACACTTTCCCAGATCAGATAATCACTTCCACAGAGCAGTTAAAGACTTCCCCAGATCAAGTAAACACTGTTCAAGAGCAAGTAAATACTTTCTCAGAGCAAATTACTTCCCTAGAAGAGGTTTAAACGCCTCTAAAGAGTAGGTAAATACTTACCCAGAGCATGCAACTCCCCCCACCCCCCCCGAGCATGTAAATACTTTTCCTTAGCAGTTAATTTATCAGATGTTTAATCATCTTTCCTTCTAATACTTGTTCAATTGCCGATAGAGATACAAAAGTATCCGTGGTCTTGTGTATTCCTTTTAGGCTATTTTTATTTCTGAACCATTTCCAGCCAAATCCCTCAAAGTTCTAATTACAGCCTACGGTTTAAAATTAATAATTATCTCTTCGTTAACTTTTTAGGAAGAAAAGTTCTGGGACACAAAACCAGCTTTTTAAATATTTTTGTGATGGGATTATATTCCTTAACCACATAAATTGTGTAAAATGTTAATAGTATTTTTTTCATTTTGGCATTAAGCTAGCACTTACAACTTCTTTCCTGAAGTTATGAGAAGTTTGGTGAATCAGTGAGCTTTGTATTTGATTTCAGATATTTTGTTTCGGCTCGATGATGATGGGAAGCCTCTTCCAATCCCTGAAGAAATGAAGAGATCAGCGTTTGATGATGTTACCCGACCTGAAGGCCCTGGAAAGTGGTGAGTTGGAAAACTTTTAGGCCTAACTAAAAAGTTTGAATATTCAATTTGACCTATAAACCTAAAGGATCAAAAGGATAAACCTAAAAGGTACATTTAAACCTAAAGGTTCAAGATTTTTGTACTAGGATTTAGGTAAGGCTAAATAAAGAAGGAATTTAAGTTTGTTTGCAAACTTTTAATTCTCAGGCTTTGTCCCCTAATCTTACGATCAATAGGGTCTCCTTGTGTTACAGAGAAAGCTCTGTCATAAAAGTGTTTCAAGCATTAAAAAAACTGTAATTAATTGATATTATAATTAGGGTCTATCAATCTAAATTGTGCACATAAATTTGTGGAAATTATTGTCTCAGTTGAACCTTGCATAGTCATAGTATGTAGGCCCACACTTCAGTCAAAACTTATCAAAATTCCGTTACCAATGGTTACGTCTATTACTTCGCTAAATGCGTCGTTCTGTTCAGAAACAACACAAGTCAGGCATGCTTATCACTTTGAAACTACTACTTAAAAGAGTGTTTGTTTCAGAAACAGCATAAGTCAATGACTTAACTTTTCCACAACTTTCTCCGTGTGACAAGGGACCAAGTGGTCTTGTCTGGGATACGTGTGCCGTGGATGGACATTGAGACTGTTTTGTTGTACTTCTTCAGAGAGCGGAATAATGGGTTACACCCAAAAAATCGGAAGAAATGTTTTCGGAGAACGTCATTAATTACCAATCTAGAACCGGAAAGTGAGAAATGTTGAGACTTCTGACTTGAAAAATCCAAATCAAGTTTTGCTGACATACATAGAAAACGAGATAAATTAGGTTGTGAACTATCGGAAATGTATGTCTGGAAGTACCAATGGGAGAGGGGATTGTCTGAGCTGAATCGCTCACTGAGCGATTTAAATCTCAGCTAGCAGACAGACAGATTCGTCTGTGAACCAACAACGCCACAAGCAGAGTAGTAAAGATTTCATCATCATGCAGATGTCAATCCGCCTACTGATGACCAGTGTCTTCTACATACTTTAATAGTCAAGCTTGAGAAGAACGCTGCAGACATTGTAACTAATTCCACTTTTTGTCGCCAGGTACTGTGCAGTGATCGGAGGCCGTAACATGTACATGCACAATGTTCCAAGACTCGTCGGAGAGCAGATGACAAAGTTGAGGCAACTTAAGTCTCTAGGCTACACTCCCATTGTGGTGAGTGAATTACATTGTTTTGTCTCTTGTAAAAGTTGGTTGTATAAGCAAGTTTAAATATCTAAAAATATACATTTTCCTACTTTGATCACCAGGCAAGCTACATAAATCACGGTTACTGCACTTAACGTGTAAAGTATTTTATGTGTTTAAGACTAATAATTCAATGGAGAATTTACTTCTTAAATATAAAATAATAATATGACGTTCCTTTTACCATCACAATAAATTGCTGGTGGTGAATTCCCTATGCTTACTAATTTACTATTAATCATATGAATTTTCTGATGAGACGATTTATTAAAAAATCGGTGTATTTACAGATCCCATCTTTCTACTGGAGAAAAGAAGAAGATAAGATGGCATATCTCAAACTTAAGTACTTTTCTGGCAATGTCCAAGAAAATAAACAAAGATAAGTTATTTTTTTAGTCTTATTGTACCAGTACCTAATGTTTATAAAATGTTGAAATAGTGAATATTCTCAGAATAAATTTGTTTCCAAACATGTTCATTTTCATTAACACATATTATTTATTAAGTAGGACCTACAGCTATTGCTTCACCGATTTGTATGTCAGTGGCAAACACTAATTTTCTGTGAAATGATAATTACTATAAACATAACCCAAGATGACTGAGATTTTTACACTATTTATACAAGCTACCATATTAGCTCAAATCATCACAGATTTTATATTTTTTTAAATAACAAATAACCTACCAAATGTAGGCATAAAAAAACGTTTTAAAATGGATTTGTTTTAGTAGAACGGTGAAATTAGGTTATTAAATAGGCATTGAAATAATGAATTACAAATAATTTTATTTACAACACAATTAACAAAAACAACAAAACTCAATCATGCAATTAACATGTCATGCAATTTAAAGATGTTTATAGCATTCTAAAATTGTTTTAAAACAAACCAAATATTGGCCTGGTTTATAATGTGTAACATTTTGACTACAATAGTACTAGACACTTCATGTTGAATTTGTAGCCAGTCTAAAATAACAATGAACTTATGAGTCGAGCCGACAGTGTGTTGGTGTCTTTTAATTCTCTTGATAAGGTTTAATTTAATGCATTATATTTTGTCTTCTTTGACCAAAATAATGAACAAGTCTTTTGACTCTTACTGATCAACAGCAGTAAGAGATTAGGTTGAGAGGCTACCAACCTCTTAAAAAAAAAACAGCAAACTTTTATAGCAAGCCAAGCATTTTTTTTTTTTTTTTTCCTAAGGACGCTAGGCACGAGCCTGGGATTGTTTTTCACATTACTTCAGGCTAGACCTAGGGGTTGCGGCATTATCACTTAGATAAAATCCATTGGTGACTTGGCGGGGATCGAACCCGGGACCTCAGGGACTGAAGTCCCGCGCTCTAACCACTACGCCAGCTCGCTCCCCAGCAAGCCAAGCATTAAGAAATACTTCTTATAAAGTATACGTCACATACTAGTAAAGCATTAAAAAAAAACTAGATATTCCTTATTTTTTCGGTAATAGATAAAATAATACTTTTACTTTGGTCACCTATTACATCCTTGTCAAGTAAGTTCAAGCTGGATTCTTTTTAATAGCAAGACATGATCAGCGTTAATTCATTTGCTCCATCTTAGTTCAGACGATGTCACAAAATAATCCTATGATCGAGGTACTATTATTATTTGACCACATTAAAAAAACAATTAAGTAGCACAGGCTACAATACTTTGTAGTACGGTATGACATTGTAAAGTATACTCTTGTCACTTTGGGTGTGAGAACTAAATTTTGTATGATACTTCACCTTTAGTTAAGCTAACTTATTTACAAAACAAAAATGTTGTACATTTCTACCAATATAAATTATCTTCCACAAGCTTGATTTTCTATTACAAACAGATGGTAATATAATTAAGATACCACAGATACTCAGCAAAATCACCGTAAATTAAAATTACTGCTGTAAATGTTTTCCATTTAATATGAGTATTGAAACGAACAATGATAAAAACACACAAATTCTCCAACAAAAGTGTATTTACTAATTGGAATCCCAGAGCCACTTTTTTTTGGCAAAACCAGAGAAGAATTTTTATATTTTAAAAATGTACAGCTGACGCTCTTAGTTTCAGTTTCAGCTTAGGCATAAAACAACTACTTTAGACTCACAACACACATATTAAACTAAATGTTTTGCTAAGTATAACCACAGACTCTGGTACAAAAGTTTGTTTCCTTTTGTTCCCTAGACTGTGGTATAACACAAAAAGGAATTATGTTTGAACCAGTCTTAAACCATTTTGTAAAAAAAACCATCAAATTACACACATAAAAGATTAGCCTAATATCTTATATTCTGTTTCTGACTAGTAGACATAACATGGATTTGATTATCAAAATAACATGAATATACATTCCTTTCACAGAGAAGTCGGTAAAGACTAAAGCGTATGGGATGACCAGCTCTAATATGTTGAATAACTTCTTGATCAGCATTATACATGTTATTAAATTTACGGAAAGTAAATCGAAGAAACGCTTTATAACTCTTAAAACATATATTTACGCTTATACTGTTACTCACAAGACGGTGAATATACAAAAAAGATGGTAAGTGGTGATCGATTTTGATTGGACACTCCAACCATCATCAGACCAAAAGCATGCCCTAGCATGTCTGCCACCAAATTAAATTTTTCCAATAAAAATATTTTACTGAATTATAAAAAAAACTTCATTAGTTAGAAGTCAGTTTAACAGACTATGAATTTGGTCAGAACAATGCTAGTTTTTAAGGAAGTCCAATATATTTTTATTATAAATTTTAAACTGTTGCATGATATTAATAAGTTTGATAGAGAAAATACAGCCTCGGAAAACTGTCATTTCATCTTGGTTTGGTATTAAATTACAGGAAAAGTTCTAACCAAATTATTAAAAATGTTTTTGGAACATCTAAAAACTTTTATTTATTAGGAAATTGAAATTAACTACATAAATTAAGTTAAAGGTAAAAAATACTTTAAATTTTAGTTTCAGGTCACTTTACAAAATTATTTAGACTAAATTATAGTATATTTGTACCATTAGAAATCAAAAACATAATATGACACTTTTAGATCATTATTAAAATTTGTCAAAAAATAGAGAAACTTCTCTCTAATAGATAATATACATGACAAGTTTCCATACATAAATATGAAATACACTATATAGTATATACCTGGACAAAAACAATTTTTTCCCACTAGAGATTGGAATTAAGTTCTAGAATTATTCTGAATCATAAGTTAACTTGTCCTTCAATTGTTACAATAATAATTTGTAATTTTCAAGGCACTCTCACACTTAGTTTTGGATTAGCACTTTATGTTTTAACAACACAGCACTGTTGTTAGTCACTACGGCTCTCCAAGCTTGGTTTTGCCAGGTTGTACTCCGCTTAGCGGGGCTCCACCGACCACCCCCTCTCCCCCCGCTTCCAGCTGTTTGAGCAGTCTGAACAGTGCGGCCGCTTCCCTGATGCGACTGAACTCTATGCAGAACGCCTGCACTTCGATGAACAATTCCTGGAACACAACAGCCATATCAGAGACACAACGGAGATATCCCGAAAAACACAACACAGATTGGAACTCTGAAACACAAAAGTGGTGTGAATGTTAAATAAAAGTAGTGTCTAGCACCAGTCGCTTCTCCTATTGTAACCCCCTTTACACTCCTTTGCCTCCTCACCATCACTTACTACAGCTGAAGGAAGGCCCTGTGCGATAAGAACTTCCTACAGTGCTTGCGGCTCAGGCTCTTCCTTGCTCGTATATTTTCTCTCAAGCACAATATAAATAGCTGAAAGCGCAAGGTCATGCCACAAGCAAGTTTCTTCTGTGCTAGCAACAACACTACTACTTGTAGGGTGCGTGTGAGGTGGCTTGAACCCAATCCCATATCCACACAAATTTTATAGTTTTGGACCACTTTCCCCAAGGCGTTTGTGAATCCTTAATTTACATTTACAATGACACTGACGAGGTATTTTAGCATACACTGACAGTAAAAAATTATAACAAACCGAAGTTGTAATGAGTTTAATGATTAATGATACAGAACATATCCTGTTAAGTACTAAGGATAATTAGTCGAGTAAAAAACAAGTCTATCCCGCTTTACCTGCACATTGATGATCTTGTTCCTGATGAGCGACTGTAGGAACACGCAGACGAGTCGGACCAGTCTGTTCTGCATGTAGCGGTCCTTGATAGTCTCACAGGTAGAGATGCAGTTAGAGATATAAAGATGCACAAACTCTGTAGGCAGATCTACAGTGGTGGTCAGCCTACAACAGTAACACTACTACAGAAGACTCTCGACTGTAGGGACACGCAGTCATTAATAATCATTACAATTGTTATATTAAAGTGTGAATGTACCGCAGTAACCTAGAAAATGAAAATCACACAGAACTAGGTTGCCTGAGAACGTAAATAGCTGTGGCATCTGCTTAGGCATTACCGATTCCCATAGCCTTTTGTCAATCTTTGTCATTATGATGTTTTGATATTAACATCATCGTGTCAAGTACAGCTCAGGTCAAACACAAACAAAAAGTAATTTTACACTTTATGAACTCAAAAGATCCACCTTATTGTGTTTTTTAATGCTGTAGTATGCTGGCTTAGCATAATTTCAATAATACTGTATTTAAGTTTTCAAGAAGAGTTGATCATGTTTGAGTTATTGTTTTCTTTAATACACTTACACTACATTATTTAAACAAATGTTTGCATGAAAATACCAATTGATTGTTTTTTTTATTTGCTATGTATTGTAAAATATATTTGTTACAAGTATTTGACTTGGTAATGTGGTACTATAACTCTTAACCTCAATTCAAAATCTAAAAGATATCTGTGTTATACGAGATCCGAGGTAGTCTCGGTCCTAACAACCTCACTAAATACTGTACAACTCTGAGTACTAGGCTGGTTAAAATTGTGAAGAGTGTTACATGGCCAGGACAGACCATTGAGAGTGTCCGTGCGTGAGTCACGTTCCTCATAGGGAGCTCCAGCCACACTCCCTTAGCAAACAGGGTATAATAGTCAACCATTTGAACGTAATCAATAGGCCTACCTGTTGACGACTTCCATTGAGTGCAAGCTCATCTCCATGTTGACCAGAACACTGAAGTATTCCGTGATGTGAGTCGACTGCATCAGTTTCAACAGCACCTCGATGGCTATCAAGGGGTTGTTCTCAACCAAGTCTGGTAACTGGACGACGATACAGAATCAATTAACAATTGGTTAGTACGTCAACTACGACTTCTACTTTTCATTTACTTACATGAACAGTTATTTTGACTGACAATAGGCACAGTAATGGAGTCTGCAATAGGAACTAAGAGTGTATCCACAAGTAGATTAAACGGTAACAATAAAAAAAAAAATACCCCCTTAGTTTGATCATCGTTGTGGACAAACAGAAGAGACTTTTAAAGTTGGTTATGAATTTCAAAGGTCAATGAGGATTTTACAAACATCAAAAAGAAAATTTGATTATGACTAGAGGTGGGAAAGCCTGAGATTTAGCTGAGCTCAAGGTTGAAATATGAATACATCCCACGGTCGTGTAGACATTATCATTGTCTTTAACGATCAAGGCAAAATATTGAACGTCTCACACAAGATCATTATCATCGTTTTCCAAGATAGTGGCTTAAGCCAGAGCTTAGGCATCATATTCAGAAAGTAGGTAGTTAAAAAAATGACCTAGGTATCTGAAAAGAGTACCTATAAACTACACAACTCAAATTCAAGGAAAGCACCAATATGGACTAGGTAGTATCTTTGAAAATTTCATTCCCATGTTAAAATAGTGAGTTTTAAAATAAAAATCAAGCAATTGAGTTACAGAGTGCTGATGAAATAATTTAATTTCTTTGAATACGCCAAATTCATAACCAAGCCAAACTAAAAAGGACAACTTATTGTAAACAAACTTGTATGTAACAAACTGGCTTAGTAACAAAAGCTAAGAGGAAAAATTTAATTTTAGACTGTAGCAAATCCTATGAATGGATCATTCAGGGTATGGCTTTTTTTAAAGATAGTACAGTGCATATTTTAGATACAAGTCTCAAACCTTGTTAGGGGTGAGACCGATGTGGTAGACCAGCTTGGGGTCGTTGTCCAGTTCGGCTAGCAGATGCTGCTGCTGTTGTAAAGTCAGAGCGCTCTTGAAAGCTTTCACCATGAGCTTCTTAGCCTCGACACCAGCGCAGTTCCACACACAAGCTGTCACGTCCATCGCGGCCTGGTGTTCCGACGGACTCACCATGTTCAGCCACACCAGCTGCGACAGAACATTTGTCCAATCTCAGCTAGCTTACCTATTTGAACTTAAAAACTACACTTAAGGCCTAATTAATTCAATAATTAATATGATTTTTTTTTTTTTTTTTGTCCTAGGACGCTAGGCACGAGCCTGGGATTGTTTTTCACATTACTTCAGGCTAAACCTAGGGGTTGCGGCATTATCACTTAGATAAATCCATTGGTGACTTGGCGGGGATCGAACCCGGGACCTCAGGGACTGAAGTCCCGCGCTCTAACCACTACGCCAGCTCGCTCCCCAATTAATATGATTACTGAAGTTGCACGTCACAATCATAGGGAGTACTACAGCTAGGTAATTAACACTGATCTACATGGTAATCCGATATAAGATAACATATTTACAACTCCTCTAGTCCAACACACTAGGGTAGTGTCCAACGCAATGATAAGTGTCTCAGACTTAAACGCAAAAAAGACAAGTTCGATCCCACACATATCCCAAAAAGTAAAACGACAACTTTCCAAAAGAGGTGTTTATATTCTTTCACATACCACACCAAGTAAGGTTAGGTAAAAACATGTTTAAATGGTCGTAAAATTAATTTTTTTATGTACATATAACCTAACCTAACCTGGTGTGGTTGGTATGACAAAAAAATACCCAGAAAAAAACAAATGTCATACCTCATCTTCACACACATGCAGTGGAGGAGCTAGCCGCAACATCTCAGGTCGGTAGTTCTGAGCGGAGACGGGCAGTGGCCCTGTCAACAGCGCCTCTACTGTCTTGTGTGCAGCCACCGGATCCACCGGCAAACTGCCAATCACAACACAACAGTTACATTCATCCAACGTGGACAAAACCGTATTTTTAGTGCAGCCAGGATTCTGTGTTTGACAAGTAAAGTTTTAATGGTTGGAACATACCATAAAACCATACCATAAAACAATTGCAAGGGAATGGTTCAAATTACACTAATTTTTTGTTTCTTTCCAATGCCAACCCTTTGTTAGATAGCATCATTAATCGATAGTCCGATGATTAGTTTTTGTGAGCTACTAATTGTGTTTTAGACATTTTCTCACCTATGGGCAGAATTAGATTTAAGATTCAAAAACGTTGTGAACACTTTTTTACCAGTGGGAGGAAATGTCCAAAGCAATCCTTTAAAAACATAACATTTTACACATCAATTGATTTATTACTTTAAGGACATAGTCATAACATTGAACACATGGGCCTAGAGGCTTTTAGGGTTTTTTTTTGTGAGAATATCAGGCTTGTCTGAATAAGAAAGAGTCCAAATTGGCAAAAGAGACAGAAAAGTTAACACTAAATACACAAAAATTAGAATATTGTCACTGACAACATTTCAAACTAAGGAAGAGAGAGTTTTCTTCAGATCCATTTATCACTTTTGTTTTTCAACGACAAGACTGCAAGAATAAGAATAAGAATAAGAATCCTTTATTGTCATTAGTCACAGTTGTGCAATAGACATTGTCAAAGAAAACTATAAAATAAAAAATGTAACAGAGTCATGAACATTAACACAGTAGACCTTATGTAACATACATGTAAAACTTAGCCTATATCACAGAAGAGAGATGCCTATATCAAGACGTAGATTACCTGGAGCGCAAGTCACTATCAGGCACCAAGACACTGAGAGCTGCTCGGCCGGTCGACGGCAACTCACTGTGTTTCTCCGCTAACGTCATCTGTAGCACAGACACATCCACCACAGGGCCTTCCACTGACAAAACCTGCTTGGCGGTCTTCTTTAATAGCTGTAATTTACACACTACAATTCACAAGGAAGAAAACAACAGCTGGATAGAGCTGGCCAAGTAATCAGATGTCAGCCAGTTTCTAAGAAAATCAGAAGTTTTGAGATGGTGTGAAACTGGTAACAGTTATCCTTCATCATAAATAAATAGGGCTTTCAATAAAATAGTCTACCACAGTTTTATTGTTGTTCTAATGTTCTAGAACAATCAAATTGTTCTTCATATGACCTACTAGTATCGGCAATTGAATTTCTAGTTTATAATAGAATAGACCATATAATCATACAGGTTTATGTGTTTACTTTATAGGGGTCATATTTTTTGTGGATTCTCCAACGTGATACGGCGATAGGCAATAATTCAACTGATGAACTGATGCAGTTTTGTTACCTACTCAAAACGGCAAAGAAATAGTTGGTAACTACGGTTTGAACCTGGTACTTTTCAAAATAAATTCAAACTATACTTCAAATATTTGTCAATTCACCAAGTATGTTACGATTAAGAATTGAAAAATCACAAGTGTGTTTGAATATAAAGACTTTACTTTCAAACACATCGGAAAAAAGAAAAGTATAACTTAGTAGGTTACACATAACATTAGATGGTAAATCGTTTCAATTAGGCCAACTTACATCTTTTGAAGAGTTTGTGATAAGTTGAGAAACAAAGCTTTTCTCGGACAAGGACAACCTTGGTAGCTGAGTGAACTCTAACTTCCGAGGACCAGGCTTGACTACGGGATCCGTAGGTTGCTGGAACAGTAAGACCGCATTGAGTTGAGGAATGGAAAACGAACATAAACAATGATCTCGAGGAACTATATTGATTTGGACGATTTATAATTAAAGTCTTCCTGGCTTTTGTTGTTACCATTTGTCTACGAATTAAATGCCTTTCTAAACCAGTTATCTTGGCTGGTTCGTCCTAGAGTTTCTGTGTTTTAAACTACAGTATTGTTGATGTGTGTGCTTATTTATTGTTTAATTTTCTTTGATGTCGCTTAGTGATTTTTTCTGAATATTTTAAGCATTTAGGGTATGTAACAAATATTAGTTTAAGTTATCTGGATGCAATCCATTATTTTGTTTACATCTCAAAGTCGTGCACCAAGTCCATGTGGTCCTAACATGACATATTACAATGATGATTTTTTATTTTGTTTTGTAATGTTTCCAACAACTTACCAATAGATGTACGAAGACAGGGGCGAAGGGACTAGACGCCAGCACCTCGCCCCGGTACATGTCGTACAGGAAGGTGATTGCCGCAAGCCGCTGCCATGGCCGAGGCAGCAGGTCTCCATTTTGTAGCAACAACACGAGAGCACAGCCAACTGAACATTAAACATAGTAAAACATAAGAATTTTTACCATTTACAACAATGCCATGAATTTTTTATACTTAAATAGGGGTAGCCCTGTCCAATATTTATGAACCAGCTTTAGCCAAATTGATAAAAAAAATAGTTGAATAAGCCATTCACAGAATGTGCATTTGTCTAAAAACTCTATTTTCTTCAGACTTGGTACGGTACTGTACCGAGAAGTAAGGTAAGGAGGAAAGATTCAATAGTGCTCTTAAGAATGCGCATACTGGAAGAAAAGACCCTACACCGTGTGCGGGAGGAACTTCCAGGCTCTTCCTTACTTGTCACAAGTATATTTGCCCTAGCACGCTCGACCACAGAAAACGTACTACTATAACCCAGAATGCCAACCGCATGGTAAAAAGCATTAAGCGTTTTGAGAGAGCTTTGCCTGTCAATCCGTAGGCAGCGCCACCAGCGTTGCTATGCATATGCTATTGCATGGCAACGCTGGTGGCGCTGCCTACGGATTGACAGGCAAAGCTCTCTCAAAACGCTTAATGCTTTTTACCATGCGGTTGGCATTCTGGGTTATAGTAGTACGTTTTCTGTGGCTCCACATACAACACAACTGAATGCACACAATCGTCCCAAGTTTCCTCTGTAGGCCTACCTTACTTATCTCTGTGGTTGCTGTAATAGTTGATGTGACTTATTTGACGTTCCCTAGCCTAATTGGATACTCCTGACCCTAACTACAATAGCCCAAGTGGTCCTTTCCACTTTGGCTTGGTTAAAAAACAGTTTATTCTTCAGAAATCAGAAATTTACATTCAGATCTCACTCTGTCGGTGCCTCAATACTATAGGCTATTAATTTTTATCCTAAAACCAGCTAACACTTAACAAGAGAATTGAATGTCTAGTTATTTTGGAAGTAAAGGTGTAAAATATTTGATAGTAAAAGGTGACACACAATCATTCAATCAGATCGGTTCTGTATATAATAGGAAAAAATTGATTTGGTTGTTGACACTATTAACATAAGTAATTAAGTCTAGTAGTTTTCCATAATCTAGATCACACCTTACAATTGGTCAGGTAATGTAACAAGGTTTCAAAATTAACTTGGATATTTTGTATGATTATGAATTAGTAGGCTACAATAAACAAAAAATTGTTAACAACATTACCTAAGTAATTTTCTTAAGATTTATAGGCTATATTTAAGACTAGCAGAATACCCGTCCTTCGTACAGGGTTCGTGTATAAGTATAAAATGCTTATTGCAGTTATAATCGTGCCTTGGGTTTGCAATCGGAGAGGACACAGTTTGAGAAAATTTAGTTCTTTTAATTTACAATATGCCATAGTATACCACCATAGCCATAATGTTCTACCACTACATCTAAACAATAAAAAAGTAAATTATCGAATATTTGCGCAAATATAAGAAAATAATTCATAAATTAAAAACATAAACTTAACTGTAAACAATCCTACTTTCAGTTTTCATTATGTATCAGAGCTTTTCAGAGCATTATGTTGCTGCTTGGTTCAAATTAGCTGTTGTCATAAATGCAAAAACAATTTTAGAGCTGCACCCTGTTGGTATACCGGTACCTTATAACTATTTAATGATACAGTATTGAACATCATAGAACCAACTTGTGTAGTTGAAACAGCTGACAAAATGCTATAGGCCTAATTGATTTTAAATATGAATACTCATAAAGTTAACATGGATACTCAAGAGCCACTGGGGCGGAGCCCAGGAGGATTTTTGAGATAAGAATATGTCTATGTCTATGTTAATCGGGAATGTGAGCTATCATCATACCAAATTTCAGCCCAATCTGACCAGTAGTTAATGCGTGATTGAAATTCAAACAAACACAGAAACTTTCACATTCATAATATTAGTAGGCCTATGATTCTATAAACATAGGCTACCTACTTAATTAATGCAGGCCTAGGCCTACAAGATTCGGTACTTGAGTATTAAACGGAGGCCACCATTACGAAACGCGCCGCGGCACTTATAGAGGGTTAAATTGTTATAGATGTTGTAGTAGAACTATTCTAGTATTGTTGTGAGTCGAGCGTTATCAGATGAGTCATGTGTCTACTCGCAGAATCCCCTCCAAGTAGGCCAAGGTCAGGGTCGTTGACCGGAGCGCACGCCATTACCTGTCATCGCCTGTCACTGTGTCTGGTCAGCTATATCAGTTATAAAATTAAACTATCATAACCTAACCTAACCAACCAAACTTGCTGATAGTGAAAACATCGAATGAAGGTTTACTAATGATCAGTATTATTATAGCTAAGTTAAGAAACTGTAGGTTAGGTGGCCTCCGTTTAATACTCAAGTACCCAAGATTCTTACCTTTATAGTTGTCTTGCTTGGAGAAACACTGATGTAATTGAGAACAAAGGGCTTCTAAACTTTGTGTTTCTACATTTTCTTCACTGAGAATCCTGCAAGTTTTTAAGTAGTTAGGGCAAACATTAAATTAATTACTTTCAATTTATGATTTTTAATGTTTCGATATTCTAGTAAGTACTTAAGTTACATTAGGCTAAGCCTTTATGCAGTTCCGATACGTTACGGAGTATCAGAAGATTGGTGGTGTTGCTAACGCAAATAGCAGTGATCTTTAAGCAAGATAATGTAACCTAACCGCCACAGACTAAAAAATGGCTGCTAGCTGGGGTACTTCTGGTGAGTCCATCCTATATATTGTCTGTAAGGTAGTTGTGGGCAAACTAACAATTTTTGGAATAACAGTTTTGTACCCAAGTCTGTTACAAACCAAGTAGCCTAACTTAGGTCCTAACATAATGCAGTCGGAAGCAGTCTTAAAATTTTTGGAATGACAATCCATTTTTTATTTTGAATTTATATAGGCTGCCTAAGTTATGTTTGTTTCTTTGGGATATAATGGTTTTGATTTCAACAAGTTTTTTTTTGGGGGGGGGGGTACACTTCCATATCTGTTGGCACAAACAACCCAATGAAAATATCGATCGATCGTTTGGTTAAGTTAGTTAGGTAAGGTTAACCTAACTTAACTAACCAAACGATTATTCATTCGGTTGTTTGTGCCAACAGATTGGAGGTGTACCCTTTGGGGGGGAGTAAAATATTATCAATAGGCATAGCCTATGTTTTTCTAAGAAAAAATGCCTAGGCCTATGAAGACCATGAGTCAAATAAAGAACAAGTAATTACATTAAAGTAAGCTACAAAACTATTCGTAAAAAAACTCCAATAAAACTTTTGTACTTAAAACTTACCCCAACAGAGTACTTAGTTCCTTTACTGATATCATGGCTTTGAAGTTTGGCCTAGTATTAAAATGAATTCACAGTTATTCAAGCAAGAAAACTGTAGCCCTACGCTAATGTTTGCTGTTTACTGTATAGTTTAATTTCGAACGGGACATGTCGAATAATAAAAATACATATCGGCCTATTTGAAATTAATGGAGAAAACAATCATTGATTGTGCGATAACAAGCCTAATACCGAATTTAGGTTATATTATGGTTTTTCTTTTGACTGACTTTGGTTTGACTAGAGCCTTCGGCCTTGTCTTTGCTTAGCAGGCTTCGGTTGTAGACCAGACAGCCCCGATGTACATTGAGTTGTGGCACGGGGCACGGCCACCTTTAACTACAGGCCGCGGCCTGGTAGAATTGGCAACGTTACAAAAGTGGTGTTGTATAGCGCCAGACGTCCCATAAGATAAGATGGCAGACAGTTGACACCAGCTTATTAATTTGCGTACTATTCATTTAAATTTAAATTTATGAACATAAATTTATTAAAAGATTGAAAATAAAATACATAGAATTGAAAACCAAATCAATATTTAAATTAAAAATTTATTTTTGTATTTTAAAGTAGATTCAATATTTTCATAGCCCAGTAAACAAGCTTTCATATTATTAAAAAAATACACAAATACCATTAGCTGCTTCCAAACAAATCAGCTGTTACAACACCACTTGCGACGTTGCCACTTCGAAGGCCACGGCCTGGGGCCCTATTTTTGAAATGGTTGACAGTTGAGTCAATCGTCAGCACTCAACTCAACCAACAACAGGATTTGGTATTTTTGAAACCCAACAGTTGGGAAGCGAGTTGGGAATCACTAATTGAGTGACTCGAGGTGGAAATGTAGAGCATACGACCGCCCGAAATTCAGATGACGTCATTTTGAACCAATCACAATGCAGAGTTCTTGCGATCTTCCATTTAACCTCTCCTTACTCTAAAATCTGGCAGCTAATCTCAATCTACCATATTTCGAGACACTGAGGTAAACTGTCAACTCCGTTCTTGAGAGATTGAGGTTATGTCTTCAATCTTAATGATTGCAAAAGTACCTGAACTTATAAAATAAACTTAAGTATTAAAAATAAAATTTACTATGGATGTTTGTTTTAGGGTGTAGCTAATTATAAGTTTAGGCATATCCTAAATACATTATTATTTGCTTTCTTCGTCTCTATTTCGAAACACATCACCTTATTTTAGTTTCCTTCATCGGTTTGCTTGATGTTATTTTAATTGTGTTTTTATTTAGGGTAAAGGTTAAAGCGGCTATTTGCCATTGCACTGAAAGCATATCGTAACTTAAATTAATTTGATGCCTTTATTAGGTGAATGGTATTGAAACAAACTATGATATTGTTACCACAATCTTTAATACCTTAAATCATAGGTCTAATAACAATAATTATCTTTTAATAAGTTCAATTAGTATGCCTAGTGCATTTCAAACAAATTAAATAGTCTTATAACAAAGTAAATAGATTAAATAGTCTAGTATTGACACAGTAAATAAAATTAACAATCGCATAAAGTATTGGGTGCTAAGACATTGACAACAAATACATAACCATAGATAAAACATACTCCCTTAGATAAAACATACTCCCTTGTGTTGGTTAGTCTATGACATAACCTCTAAATCGCAATTAATTAGTAATAAAGCAATAACAAAACAATATGGCGTCGACTCAAAAAGAGTAATTTTTGCCGAAAGAGAGGAAGAAGAAAGTGCAGTCAACCACCACTCAACAGCTCGATAGATGTTGAGTAGTTTTGGTTGTACAAGTCCACCGTCAATCGTTTCAAAAATACGAAACGATTGGAAATAGAATGACTCGACACTCAACTCAACAGTCAACCATTTCAAAAATAGGGCCCCTGGAGTTAAAGGCGGCCGTCAAACTCAGCACTTCTACAAATAGACGTTCCTGATAGTGCGCAGTGCGCATGCGCGGCTCTTCTTCTACAACCTGGGGCCCTATTTTTGAAATGGTTGACAGTTGAGTCAATCGTCAGCACTCAACTCAACCAACAACATGATTTGGTATTTTTGAAACCCAACAGTTGGGAAGCGAGTTGGGAATCACTAGTTGAGAGACTCGTGGTGGAAATGTAGAGCATACGACCGTCAAAAATTCAGATGACGTCATTTTGAACCAATCACAATGCAGAGTTCTTGCGGACTTCGATTTAACCTCTTCTTACTCTAAAATCTGGCAGCTAATCTCAATCTGCCATATTTCGAGACACTGAGGTAAACTGTCAACTCCGTTCTTGAGAAATTGAGATTGAGGTTATGTCTTGCTTAATCTTAGTGATTGCAAAGTACCTTAACTTAAGTAATTAACTAAAGTAAACTAAATAAAGTAATAAACTTAAGTATAAAAAATAAAATTTACTATGGATGTTTGTTTTAGGGTGTAGCTAATTATAAGTTTAGGCATAGGCTGCACTTTACTTTAGGTCCTACACTCATCCTAAATACATTATTATTTGCTTTCTTCGTCTCTATTTCGGAACACATCACCTTATTTTAGTTTCCTTCATCGGTTTGTTTTATGTTATTTTTAATTGTTTTTTATTTAGGTTAAAGCGGCTATTTGCCATTGCACTGAAAGCATATCGTAACTTAAATTAATTTGATCCCTTTATTAGGTGAATGGTATTGAAACAAACTATGATATTGTTTCTCTCTACCACAATCTTAAAACCTTAAATCATAGGTCTAATAACAATAATTATCTTATAATAAGTTCAATTAGTATGCCTAGTCTATTTCAAACATTCCAACAAGAATAAAACCCTTGATTAAAATAGTCTAGTATTGACACAGTAAATAAAATTAAAATGCGATTATTCTACAGAAAACAATCGCATAATTGGGTGCTAATACATTGACAACAAATACATAACCTCTAAATCGCAATTAGTAAATTAAAGCAATAACAAAACAATATGGCGTCGTCTCAAAAAGAGTAATTTTTTGCCGAAAGAGAGGAAGAATAAAGTGCAGTCAACCTCCACTCAACAGCTCGATAGGTGTTGAGTAGTTTTAGTTGTATAAGTCCACCGTCAACAGTTTCAAAAATACGAAACGATTGGAAATAGAATGACTCGACACTCAACTCAACAGTCAACCATTTCAAAAATAGGGCCCCAGACGCTCCTTGTAGTGTTGACAAGAGAGCGGGAGATTTATTTTAAGTGAAACGATCTTGTTTCAACAACTCGGGGAAAAGCTTGCCATACTCATACTGTAATATGAATGAATAAACCAGTATTTCAGAAGTACAGTTTGTACTTTCAAAAAACATGTAGATAAAAATAACTCTAATTGCAAATACAGTTTGTTAAGACATGATCTCATCATGTTATTTTATTAAATTGAAGCGGAAGACCAACTACATAACCTTATTTTATTTTATAACCCTTCTTCTAATGAAACCCAGCGTTTACCAGGCAAATAATAAAACCATCAACCTAATGAAAAAATACCCCCGCCTCAGCAAGCCTGCTGACTAAGCGAATTTCCATTTTTCTTAATTGATTTTCAATTAAATCTATTTAAATAGGTATTTAAAAATAACATTTAGGTTTAACGAGTACCTAGGTTTGCTGTTATAGGGAGGTTAATGAAGTGTGTTTTAGTAAAATATTAATAGCTTGGCACAGTATAAAATAAATAAATTTGCTAAGTTTTATCAAAACATAAATTTAATCCAGAAAACTACAACATTCTCCATACCCCGTTCCCATGATCCGATCATTCTGGTTCACGAACTCATTCAAGTTTAATCTGCCTTGGGCCTACACCTTCAAACCAAATTTAATCAAAATCGGACAAAAATTACTCAAGTTATAGCGTCCACGGACACGATACACATTTTGAGCGGATGGTATTTTTGGACGTCAAAACGAAAAAGTAAATCGGTCCCGGGTTTAGGTCTTAGGTCTTGAGACAGATGATAATAGCGTAATTGCTTTGGGAAATTCGCTAAAACTAGTTAATAACATAAAATATGTCAAGAAAATTCAATGTTTGAAATACTGTTAATACAGTAATAACAGTAAAGCCAGTATCAACCACCAAAGTATTTATTGTTGTTTTGGTTTTACCGTGGTTCATTAGACGTAAAAATATAGTAAGTGTAAAAGATGAAAACATGCAACAATAATCATCAGAATGTGTATCGGACCATTGACTCTAAAATTTAAAGTTCAAATTCCATTATTGGACTGAAATGTTTAAATCACATCATTTCAAAATTATTAAGGATGAACATTGTGAGCCTTGAGTGTTTTTATTCTGAATAATTTTAAAACGTTCTATTGATTTCATCCAACCGAAAATTTAATTCTAATATTTGTATCTATGCTACTACATTCAAAAACTGTAGGTACAGTATTCAATAATTTCAACTTCTATAAATTTTAAAATAAATCATAGACCTAAGCGTCTTGTCTAAGCTACGGAAGTTTACTGTTCACCAACGTTTAATCTCTTTAGAGACCAAAGAATAAACATGCAAATTCCTCTATAGCAAATAAAAGCGGTTAAAAGATAAGGAGACTTTTTATCGAACAACCGCTGGTGGTATTTTATTATAAGAATTTACCTCGCAGATTTTCGATAACGCAGTCCAGCGATAACACCTGTTTCTAATTTTTATCGCTAAGCGTTTTACCGCATTTATTCAGTTTTAATATAGTGCTGAATGTGTTAACATCGGTTGCTCACCTCTGTTAACTTTGTCTCCTATGTCTATGACAATTTTACATTTTCTGAGTATTGCGCACTTTTCGGCGGTTCTTTGCGTAGATCGTTTCGCGCTCGAGGTTTTAGCGTTTTTATAAGATATTAGTGTCTTTATGTTCAATTAATTAGTTAAATATTGAGTGTAGAATGTTTCGGAATGTCTTATGCCAACTTTATTACATTAATTTGAAGTGGAAAGTGTTTTGTTATCTGTTCAGAACGATTTAATCTGAGCTACACTCCTATGTGTCGTGTGTGTTTAAAGTGATAAATCTTTGATTTAAAAGTGTTTTCAGTCTTACCTACGATTAATATCATAGGCTAATACATTTTAAAGTGTCATGTGTTCCTTATTGTGGAATATTTATTGTGAAATCAACCGAAATAAGCAGTTTTATATCCACCTAGACAGGAGCTAAAAGGTACGACGTCATTCT